TTCATCAATATTAGGGATTTTTCCAAAATCCATTTTTGGTTTCAAATATTTTTCTCTATTCTTTGTTCTAAGTCCAAGTTCACTGATTTCCAGTGGCACAACATACAGTAAAACTTAGAGGGGGAATTGTAGATAGTACATTCAAACTCTGAATATGAGAAAGTTTTTAGGAAAATCTTTTTATATTGCTTATATTTTCCTCTTAAGAGATATACAAGTTTTGTAATGATATACGTGTTGTAATATATGTGTTGTAATGATGTAAACCTGTGTGTAGAATAATCCAAAACAGTGTTTTCATTATATAAAAGTTGATTTGAAGTGATATGTTGTATCTGTATTATAATTGAAGTACTTTATTGTATTTACATCACTAGGTTAATACACCATGTAGCTATATAATAATATTTACAGTGTGTCATGTTTTAACAGGCAGTGGTTTCTTTAGTGGTTTATGTGGACGGCATTTTGGGGAGGTGACTTGCGGCCGGAGTCCCAACAGCACGTGTGCGTATCATGTGCAAGGGGGTAAAAGTCTCCAGGGGACTCTAGAGCCAGTGGTCCCACAGCTCAGAGAAAAACATGTGTTTGCAGCTGGACTTCCAGCTTCAGGCGATGGACCGAGGCCCAGGAGCCTGGAGCTGGAGCCCAGGGGAGACTGAGCAGCGCAGCGCTGGGGGGACGCGTGGCGAAGCGTGCGCCGTGGGCGTCAAGGCAACGCTGCAGGCAGGAGAGAAACTCTCACTGCATTCGACGGCGACGTGTAGTGGGAAACATATTTCAGGCAGGTTAACTCACCAGCAAGAATGAAGGAAGGGAAGGTGGGAAAAGCAGAAAAGGAGGAAACGAATTACCGAGGAGTTTTGCCAGGGGGAGCCGGTGAGCACTGGTGACTGAAGGAGAGAAAGAGAAACCAGACTCCCTCTGCGGTTTTGAGTTTGGAAGAACAGGGGGCTTGGTTACAGCAAAGACTGGGGTGTAAGCTGCACCTCCGGAGAGGAGCTGGGGAGAGGAACAGAACAGCAGGTCCTGCAGCGCAGGACTTGAGACTTTGGACTGATTGGCCGTCGCAAGAGAATCTGTGTCCAGCAGCCTGCACTGCTAGGCCTGAGACAGTTCCCAGGTGAAGACGGAGACAGACTGGCCATGCTTCCGCCTGGAAATGCTGTTTCACTGCGATCACCAGCACGGAGAAGGTGTAATGAAAATGGAAATGACCTTCCACGGGCCGACAGCAAGTGATGTAAGTGCTTCTCAGACTCCACCCGGTAAGCTATGATTGCAGTCTGGAGGCAGCATCGTGATTCCCATTGTAAAGATGGGAAGGCTGAGCTGCAGGAAGCTTAGGACTCATGAATGAGGTCGCCCTGCTGGAAAGCGGCAGGACCAGACAATGTGGGTGCACACCTGTCCCCCAAGTTTGCTTCTGACAAATGCAGAGGGTTCCTTATGGGTGAGATATGTGGGGTAAGTGAGCTCAGGGACAGAAAAGGGGCAGTCAGAGAGGTACATGGTGACACCACTGTGCTTCTGCCATGCAGGGTATAAATACGCACCGTGCCAGATGGTCCTTACCAAGAATATGGGAATGAATGCCACGAGTTTGCTGGTGGATTCTATTTAAACCATCTCAGCCACCAAGTCATCTACGTTCCCCGTTTTTAAAGTTTTTGGATGAAGGGGATTGATTGAAAAGTATAAATTGACTGATTTTCCAAGCTGTGGCTTCATAGCTGCTCCCTGCAAATGAAGTAAAAAGTAGAACTCTACCACAGTTATTCTCAAAGTGGGGTTCCTGGCTGGGCAGCATCAGCATCCTCTAAAATCTCCCTGGTTAGAAATTAAAATTCTCAAGGTCAGGGTATAGCTCAGTGCCATAAGTGCCTGCCTGGTAAGCGCCAGGTCCTGAGTTCGATTCTTGGTATCAGAAAAAGAAAAGAAATTCAAATCTTCATGCCCAATCTCAGAACTTCCGGCTGAGAACTTGGCAGGTGGGGCCTTAGCAAGCTGTGTGGTAAGAAGCCCTCCCAGTGATTCTGATGGATGCTCAATACTGAAGAACTCTGCTCCTGGGAATGAGATCTATGGGTGCCTGGTCCTGAGCAGAGCACCCATATAACACAACCACCCCATGACATTGCTCCTGCCAGCCTGCGGGATCCATAAGGGGATTCACTTGTCCCCAAAGCTGAGAGGAAATGCTCTTCCTTCCAGGACCATGTGGCAGGGAAAGACTGGAGATCTTTCCCTCTAGGTACATGGAGCAGGACCTCGGGAGCTCACACCCAGGTCTCACTCCAGCTCTGTGCTAAGCTGGGCTCTTGACTGTCCCCAGAAGCCTGTGCATTAAAGGCTTGGTCCTGGGGCGCTGCACCTGGGAGGTGGTGGACCTTCAGGAGGTAGGGTCTCGGGAGGTGCTTAGGTCATTTGAGACCTATCCTCAAAGGGGACTGTGAGATCCTTCTTCTTTCTTTTGGTCCCTGGCTTTGGAGGTCAGTGGTTTGCTCTGCCATGCACTTCTGTCAAGATGTGCCATGCTGAAGCCAATCTGTTACAGTCTGGAACTCCTCAAGTATAAGCCAAAATAAACTTCTTCCATTATAAGTTAATGATCTCAGGTATTTCATTACAGTGACAGAAACCTGACACAAAATCTCCCTGTGTGAAGAAGTCTTTCCCTCCTCGACTTCAAGGAGGCAGCTCTTTGCCACCCAGAAAGTTCCATCTGGAGGCAGAACCAGCTTCACAGCTGCCAAAGAAGGCGACAAATCTTGGGGCTTTGTGTGTGAAGCTCCACAAAGTCCTTAACTTACTCTGAAAAACCGATGACAGAGAACTGCTTCTTGTGCAGTGAAAAAGGAAGTCTAGGAATAATGTGACCAAATAGCCCCTCGTAAAGCTCAGATCTTCTGACAGGTCCATCCTAGAAGCCCATTAGAGCATCAGCTTGGTTTTCTGCCGTGGGCCGGGGCTGGAAGTATGTATCTTACCACACCTCAGCTGGTGTGCCCAGGGCCTGGATCTGCGGGCTTCTAGGGTGTCCAGAGTGAGGACACTGCCCTCACCAGGGTCACCCCAACCCTAACCCCAGCCTTTCACAGACACAAGGCGGATGTGGCAAACCTAGGCCCACCCAGGAGAGCTCACGCCGTACACTGCTCAAGACAGTGAACTCCAAAACATGAACAAAGGTACTCAGACCTGCTTGGCTAGGTTCCCGTCCCAAAGGGGCGAGCATCGGGGCACTGCAGGACATTCCAAGTGGCCTCAGCTGCCCTGTCCCATCTCAGAAGCCCAGGCCACAAGGCCTTTGCCCAGGCTCTGGCTTGGGAGGCCATTGACACGTGTAGGGTGGAAGGGCCAGGCACCTCGGGCGCCAGGTCTCCCCTGGAGTCCTGTTCTCCCCCAGCGTCTCTGACACAGGCGCCACCCTGGAAGACTTGAGAGAGGGGGACAGAGCGGGGCTGCCTGCTGGGTTTGGCCTGCCAGTCCTTCCTCTGGGGAGGCTGAAGCAGGCAGCGCACTCCACTGTGGAGGGGACCCACGGGCCGGCCTGTGACTGTGTGGCTGGGGTCCCTCTGTGTCTCTGCTTAAGGAGGGAGTCACCCTTCCAACTTCCCAGCACTGACACCAGCTAGGAGGGTCCAGCCTGGCCCAGCTTGGCCTGCCAGAACTGGCTTGCCTAAAAGGAAGGGGTGTCCCTTTGGGGGGTTGTTTTTGGCTGTTGCTGTTGTTCTGTTTTGTTCTGTGGTCCTGCAGATTGAACCCAGGGTCCCCAGCATGCCAAGCTGCACCCTCACCAAGTCTGCTCTGAGACAGGGGCTGGCTAAGTTGCCCAGGCTGGCCTCCAACTTGTGCTTTCCTGCCTCAGCCTTCTGACTCATTGGAATTAGGTGTCTGCCTCTGCACCTGGACCTTCCACAGGCTCTGAATCCAGCTGTGCCTGGAGACCTCTCAGAGCCAACCCCAGTGGAGCAGAATGGCAGGCTGGCGTCTGCAGGGAGGCTGTGCTGTGCTGGGCAGTTTGGGCTTTGGCAAGTCAAAATACAGGAAGCAAACATCTCCAGACAGACTTGATAGTTCACTTTCTACTGTTTGAAAATGCAACGAGGGCTGGGCTCACACTTGCAGTCCTCCTGCCTCAGTCTCCCAGATCGCCAGGATTACAACACAGCTGTCTACACATCAACATCAGCAAGGAAGAAGAGGTGTTTCTTTTCCTAATGACATCTTTGAGGTGTATACATACAGTCAGTTAAGTACTTTCTAAATTTCAGTCTGCAGACTCTGGCTTGCTCACTCCATGATCAAGAAGACCATTACCTGAATGAAGTAAGCAGGAGCTTTCTGGGGCCCATAGGTACCAAAGCCACCTACGCTTCTCTACCACAGAAATGTAGCTGTCTCCTAGGCTCAGCCCTACTCTCTGCAGTCAGAGGACTCGAAATGGCCGTTAATCTAATGGCATGAGCTCAGTTACACACTGCGCTAGGCTGTGAAACTGCATAGAAACAGTGCTGAGATCGCACCTCTAAAAAGTTTAAAAGCCAGTTGATGATGGGGAATATGTACAGAGTAGTCAAAATTCTAACGCTTTAAAAAACAGACCTGCTTTCAGAATGACCTACTCCCTGAAAACTCCCACCATTGATTTTATTCGGTTTATTCTCTGTGGTTACTGTGGGAAATGCCCTGTGGACATCTCGATTTTCTTTATGAGAAAGAGCTCAGTTCAGTATGTTTTTGAAACAATCTCACATTAGTTTTTTATGTAAATGCAGTAAACTTAAATGCTTAGATTGCTCTGTATGCCTGCAGCTTAACCATAAACAGCAAGATGTCCTTCACTGTGCCCCTGTCGAGTGACAAGGTCACAAGTGCACAGGCCAACGTTTCCACATGCAGCGAGTCCCGGTCCGTGTCACCCGCCTGCACCTAAGGGCGGAAATACCCACACTGTGAGCCTGTAAGGTCAGGAGTCTGCTTCTGAGAGTGCTTACCTGGTGATCTGTGTTCTCGTACTGAAGTCAAGTGACCTCATTGAGCGCAGAACTTCAATGCACCCCAAGTACTGCAAGGGGAAGAAACGTAGATCATGGTGAGCCCGAGAGCCGAGATGAGAGACAGTTCCTGCCTACAGCGAGGGCACCGCGCAAGCGACACATGCGTCCCCAATCACATTTTTACTCTAAGCTCTGTGGTGTGACTTCGTTCTGTTTCTACTAAGGCAATAAACTGCATCCATAAGGAAACAAAGGGAACCTTATAACCTATCAATAAATGTAAACACATCATAAAACATGAGATGAGATTAATAACAACAAGAATGAAAAGGAGGACTGGAACTGACAGGAGGCTGGAGGGAGGGGAAGGGGTTAAAAAAAGAATCAAGCTCATTATACACAGCGGTATATATATATACCGCTCCTAACGATGACTGTATCCCACATGCATGGCAGATACGTACTAATAAAAAATAGAGAAAGAAAATAACTGAGTGCCCCTGACCACACTTGACTTTTATGGTATTTTATTCAGATGTGCATTTTTCAAAGCTTTTATTAAGGCATATTTTATACAGCAAAAAGCTTAAACATTTAACTCAATGTTATTTAAGCACGTATTTACACTGACCCCATAGCCCAACCCCAACATCTTGTTTCTGGCTCTTTACAAAGCTTCCAGAAGTTTATTAGTGTCTAAAGAATAAAAACACTCTATGTGACTAACCTTAAACGTGGTTACCTAACAAATACATCTTGGAGTGTTTGGATAAACTGTAGATAACCTTGTTTCAGCAGGAAGACCTCTTCTGCATTATTTACCATCAATTTTCAGAAGTTTGAGTTTATGAAAATTGGTGTACAGCTAAATTTTGATCAGCCTCACACACGAAACTGCGTATGTGAATGTATGAAGTGACTAATGTAAGTGATAAAGAGCTAGCTAGATACAGTACATGACACCCGTGGAGAGTCTGAAAGTGGCAATGTTTTGGGAAAATGCCTTTACATTTAGATTTAGTGAGCAAAGCCAACAGTGTAACATGGAAATGGTTGTACGCCAATTGTACACTGCTGCAGCACCACCAGTGTCCCAGTTCCTTGAACCCCACCATGAGGCTTCCATGACTAGTGCCACACAGGGACATGACTCCCATTGCTACTGACACTGTAGTTACACAACCGTAATCCCCACACAGTCAGGCCCCATGAAGAAAGGTCCAATGGAGCAGTTAGGTGACAATCACCACCATCAAGTCCCAGAATTACACAGATACCACATCTGTGTTTCAGAGGCACAGAATTATGAGTCACAGAATTATGTGACTACACATTGCGTTGTGAATGCAACATGTACTAATATCCCAGAATTACAGGAATACCACCATGATCCTTGTAGAGTAACATTAACAGCGTGACCACTGTCACAGAATTGTGAGGATACAACAAAAAACAACTCTGCTGAATCTCATGAACATTAGCTACCATCATTGAAAAATCATGTAAATATAGTGTCAGAGTTATGTGGGAACTATAAACAATAATACAGCATTATTCAGACACCATCACCACCATTGCTAGTTACATGAGTATCTTTCCCACCACGGGTATGTATTTACACAAATGGCACAACCAAAGTCTCACTATTATGCAAATACCACACCTATAATGATTCCATGATTGTGGAACACTGGTTGTGCTACTCATGCATGTTGTGATGGTGATGATGGTGTTAGGCACAGAACTCTGCAACCTGGTCATGTATTTCCATAACTCTGCAAGGCTAGTGGCATGGCATTACCACTGTATGGTAGTGGTGGTGGTGTTTGTGTAATCTGTCACTTGGTCAAATACTTGCATAACGTAGCTGCACTGACAGTTGTTAACAAAACTGCATCAGTGATGACAATAATGTTTGCATAACTCTCTAGTCCTCTCACAGTGTTAATATGTTCCTCAGTGCTGTGAGCAGTTGAATTGGAATAATTATACCGGGGGTGTGTTCTCTTAATGACACCACCTGACGGTAGTCGCATAATTCAGGAGTGCTGTTAGATGTGGTAACCCGGTAACTCAGCAATGCTGGGTGTGTTCCTCACTTATCTTAGTGACAGAGGTAGTGATGCTCATACAATCTGTCTGCACAACTCTGTAATACTGGTGGTAGCGTTTTCACGCCTGTAGCACAATGGTTGTGATAGATACACACCTCTCAGAAGTTGTAAGTTATTGATGATATTATACCCCTAGTAATGTTTCTAGTGTTGTAGTCTTAGAACACTGCAACTTAGGTCATGTTATTCACACACACATGCACTTATGGGGGGAGTTTTCATTTTTGTCTATGACATTGGTGTGGTTTTTATATGCACCATGACTGATGACTCCGTTATTTTAACACAGGTATGTTAAAATACCACCAACAATGTCACTGAATCAGACGACTGCTGCCAATTGAGTTATAGTGTCGTGCAGACATCAGTGTCACAGATTTACATCAGTACAATCCCACTGTCATAGTTACGGGAATGCAACCGTCACGCAATCATCTAGCTGTGACCAATGTCACGGGCTTATACAAACACCCCATAAACATCACTGAGATATTTACCTACTACCACCAGTGCAGTAGTGTAGGGTAAATACTACAAGTGACATCGCAGTTACATGACTATCACCAGCAAAGCCACCACAGTATTATGTACCATGACCACAGCTCCGTAGAACTGTGTATGTCCACTGTCATGGCACTGTGTGAATCCCACCAGCCCGCATGAAGAATCAAATGAACAGCAACAGAATCACCCTGTGATATGGGTAATGCCACCACCATGTTGCACAACTGTGTCAATGCCTCACAAGTGCTGCAGAGTTCTATGGACATCACATCACTATGCACTGCAGAAGACACACCAGCATCGTGGTGTTAGGCACCACCAACATCACAGAACCATGTGAATACCATCACCCACATTGTGGACCTTCATAAATGCAACTGTCACAAAACACATCGCCACAATGGCCAGCAGAGTTTATATGGAATAATTATACCGGGGGTGTGCTTTTTTAGTGACATCACCTGACGGTAGTCGCATAATTCAAGAGTGCTATTAGATGTGGTAACCTGGTAACTCAGCAATGCTGGGTGTGTTCCTCACTTATCTTAGTGACAGAGGTAGTGATGCTCATACAATCTGTCTGCACAACTCTGTAATTCTGGTGGTAGCGTCCGGTGCCACTATCTGAAAATTAACATGAATTCTTCCACCAATGTCTCAAAGTGATTGTTGTCAGTCGGATGTGAAATGTTCCCCGAAGGCTCATATGTTGAAAGCTTAGCTCCCAGTGTAGTAATGTGCAGAGGCAGAACTACTGGCAGGCAACTGGATTGTGAGGGCAGTGATCTCATTCATCAGTGGATTAACTCACTAATGGATTTATAGTTTGATGACTTTACTGGGAAGTGGTGGGAACTTTAGAAGACGGCCTAGTTGGAGCCAGTAGGTCACTGGGGGTGTGCCCTGCAGGGGTGATCTCGCTCTGTTTCTTTCCTGCTTTCTGGCTGCCACAGGTGAGCAGCCTTCCTTCACCATAATGTTGTTGCCCTTGAGCAGGTCAGCCATGGACTGAACCCTGTGAAACTGTAAGCCAAAAATAAACCTTTCCTCTCTTCAGGCTTTTTTTCAGATATTTTGTCACAGCAACAGAAAGCTAATGCAGTGATCTGAATACCAATAACAATACTACAGTATTATGTGGATACCATTTATGTAACACAATTATGTAACAACCATCAACACCATGACAGCTGGTTTTTATCACAAGCATCAACAAAAAATTATGTGAATGCCACTGTTACCACCATAGCATGATATGACTGTTACCACCAACTTCATGAAGTTATGTGGGTGACAACGACAGCATTTTCTGAGCCCCATCGCCAGCACTCTGGAGTTGTATGATGGCTGTCCCCACACCATGGCAAAGTTCCACTCACTGCAGTTGTTTTAGCCCATTGCCTACTGCTATAATAACATGACCGGGGCTGGATGACTCGGAGAGAAGAGAAACAGTCAGGAAGGCCAGAAGATTCATCGGTTCAGCCTTTTGCAGAGGCTCCCCTCGGTAGATCAGCGTGTGATAGTAGGTAGCATCATTGTGACAGTACATATGAAGGACCAGGCTCACAATCTGAGGTCACCCCCCAAATGACCTAGTCACCTCCCACTAGGCCTCAACTCCTGAGGGTCCCACCAGCTCTTAATGTACCATGCAGAGGACCAGGCTTCCAGCACATGAACCCCTGAGGGACACACACCAGCACCAGCGGCACAGAGCTTCTGGTAACTATGCCCATTGCAGGAGGATTATGTGATTAGCATCCAACACGACCACAGTTGGCACTGCAGAGCTGGGCGGTCACATCCTGTGCCTCTTTCACAAAGGTATGTTGAAGTCACAACCAGGGTTACAGATTTATCTCAGCACTACGATACACATTGCAGAGTTACAGGGTTACCGCCACTGCAGTCCCAGAATGGTGGAAATCATACCGCCTCTCCTTTCACAGTGTTATGCACACACCAGGACTGACTTCTGGGAGTTACACGACTGCCACCAACAGCACACTCGCACTCACACGGAGGCAAACTGCCCTTCCACAGGGTGCAGCAATCTGCCCTCTCCTCCTCCACGCAGTGTAGGCCAGAATTACAGTCTCTACCTTCGCAACTCTGTACAGCAACACTCTTTAGTGAATGGATATGGAAGACGCACACATTAATTGGGTAATGTGTAATGTTTCACAGATCCACTGTGCAATGTTTAAATCAGGTTAAGCACATCTGTTTCTTCAAACGTGTATTATTTCCGTAAGGTGGGAACTCCAAATCCTTTCTTTCTGGTATACACAGCCTGATCATTATTTTGTAGTCACCCTTTTGTGCAGTAGCACTGCAGAGCTTCCCATTCCCCACAGTAACTTAGGGTTCACTGAGCAACCATGTCCCATCCCTCCATCACCCTACTAAGCCCAGGCTAAGGTAGGCACGATTTCACCTGCGATTGC